CCAAAAGTCAGATTCGGCAGAGAACTTTCGGAGGAAGTAGAGATAAAAAGAGGCATAAGGCAAGGTTGCATATTCTCCCCCTTATTGTTCAATCTATATTCGGAAGAAATAATTAAAAAATCACTCGAAAATGTAACAATGCGAATAAAAGTCAACGGCAGACTTATCAACAATATCAGATATGCCGATGATACTATACTAATTGCTGAGAATATACAAGATCTACAGACCTACAGTATTCGGTGCTGCTGAAAAATAAGTTGGGTAGACCGAATAACAAATGTTAAGGTCCTCAAAAAGATGGCAAAGGAAATGGAAATCATGAATACGATTAAGATGAGAAAGTTACAGTATCTCGGCCACGTTATGAGAGGGAATAAATATGTGTTGCTATAATATATATATATATATATATATATATATATATATATATATATATATATATATATATATATATATATAGTTCAGCTCAACAGGCCTCAAAGACCCAAGGCTTCAACGGTTTTCTTCCATTTCTTTCTATCTTGTGCTAAGTTTTTCCAATCTTGTACCCGCAGCGACTTCAGATCTTCTTTTGCCGACTCCAGCCATTTTCTTCGGGGGCGGCCTCTTTTTCTTTTTGTACCAGCCTCCGTGTTTATTAATTCATTGGGAACTCTTCCTTCCTTCATTCTTGCTATATGCCCGAGCCATCTTAATCTTTGAATTTTCGCGAGTCTTGTTATTTTTGGTTGCCCATATATTTGCATTATTTCTTCATTCGTTCTTCTTCACCAGATGTTCCCCTCTTTTACACCTCCGTATATCCTTCTAAGAATTTTTCGTTCCCATCTATCTAATTTTACTTCCATATCTTTATTTAGTGTCCAGGTCTCGCTAGCATAGAGTACTGTAGGTCGGATAACTGTTGTATATATTCGTTTTTTTGTTGTTCTGGATATTATCTTCGACCTCAGTATCTTAGTCAGGCTCCCAGCACTCTTACTACCTTTGGCCATTCTTTTTATGATTTCTTGGTTCTCTTCGTTCCTATTTGTTAGTGTCACTCCCAAGTAGTCGAATTGGCTAACAACTTCAAAGTTATGTTCTTTACTTGGGCTTTGTACCTTAAAGGACTCTCCTAGATGATTTTCGTTTCCCCTCATCACCATATATTTTGTTTTTTCTTCGTTTATTTCTAAACCATATTCTCTGGCTATTCTCTCTATTCTAATAAAGATTTCTCTTAATTCTGCAGGTCTCCTTGTTATTAAGGTAACATCATCTGCATATGCTACACATTGATGCCTGTGATGATATATTGTGCCTCTAGTGTAGATGTTACATTCTCGTAAAATCTTCTCGAAGATCAAATTGAAAAAATCTGTTGATAACGGATCACCTTGTCGCAGACCTCTATTGGTGATAAAACTATCCGAAACCCGTCCTTCTAACATGACTTTACTTTTAGTATCATTGAGTATGCATTTAGTCAGTCTTACTATTTTTGGTGGAAATTCAAAATATTCTAGTGCTTCATATACTTTATTTCTTTTTATAGTATCATATGCCTGTCTAAAATCAATAAACAGCATGTGTACTGTTAGGTTGAATTCATATGAGCTAGCTAAAATTTGTTTCATTGTAAAAATTTGGTCAGTTACCGATCTGTGTGCTCTGAAACCTGCTTGATATTCACCTAGACAATTTTCAACTTTTGTTTTAATTTTATTTCTAATTGATATGGCCAAAATCTTATACACTGTATCTTGTAGAGCTATTCCCCTGTAATTTTTACATTCTGTAACGTCTCCTTTTTTTATGCACTGGACATAAGACTGCTTCTTTCCACTGATTGGGTATTTTTTCTTTGATCCACACTTCGCGTATTAACTCAGCGATTTCTTCTTGTACCATTTCGCCACCTTCTTTTAAAAACTCGGCAATGATACCATTTTCACCAGGTGCTTTGTTGTTTTTTAAGTTTTTTATGATCTCTATAATTTCTTCCTTGGTAGGTACTTCTTCATTTACATCTGTGTCCCTTACTTCTTCATGTTGTAGTTGCGTTTGTTCTCTTTCATCTTGGTCGTCCGTACATAATAATATGTTCTCAAAATAACTGGCCCACCTTCTTACTTTTTCATCTGTTCCACCTAACAGATTCCCCTCTTCATCTTTATAATATCTTGATGTGGTTTTGTACTGGGTTCGGTCTCGTTTTATTTCTTGGTAGAAATTCCTGACTTGTTTATGTACAAAATCTTCTTCAATACGAACTAGTTTCTGCTCTAAACTTGAACGCTTCTTCCTTTTACAGATCTTCTTTGCTTCCCGTCTTTTTTCGGCATAAGCTTTTTTACTATCTTCATTATTTCTTGCTGCAATCTCAAAAGTGAAAATAGCTGTGATAATTACCAACTTCCTTGGAGGAGATGGTAACTAAAGACGAAGAAGAATGGGTTCTCGAAAAATATGCAATAATTGGCTCAGCGCAATCCGGTTTCAGACTTTATCGTTCAACCCTTGAAAATTAAGTGCTATTACAGCTTTCGATATTTCAGACAAACAGGATCTAATCGCTACTGTCTTAGATATAGAAGGAGCTTTCGATACTATCTCGCCCCAAGCCATTCCTGAAAAGCTTTTTCAATACAAGAAAACAGGAAATATTTACTCCTTTTTACAACAAACAACATTTTCCACAATACTCAGTACAACGCTGTTCATTCTTGAAATAAATGATATTTGTTCCAGTATTTGTCCACCAGTCACGCAGATGACCTTATTTTATATTGTCAAAGAAAATGCACAATCGTCACATGCAACGTGTTTTAAACCGCTGTAAATTAACTCAGCGAATGGTCCACAAAAACCGAATGAGCTCTTTCAACGACTAAATCGAAGTTAATACAGTTTAGCAGAAGACCCTGCAGCTAAAGTCTAATTATCACCCATAATGGAACTCCATTGCAACTAGTTAGGTACTCATCACAAAATACTTGGTTTAACGTTTGACAGTAGGCTAACTTGGAAACAGCATATTAGTGTATTATTGGGAAATGCAATGAAAAGACTCAATATCATCAAGGCACTATTAAAGTACACATGGGGTGCGGACGAAACCATCCATATATATATATATATATATATATATATATATATATATATATATATATATATATATATATATATATATATACTGCTGCACTACGGCAGCTTCATATACATGTCTGCATCACAATCTGACTTAAAGCTGCTGAACTCTGTGTATAAGACTTCTATTCGTCAAGATAGCCTTTACGGCGAGGCTAATGAACCACCTCTCTGGATTCGACAAGAGTATCTTCTTCAATCTTACTTTGCTTTCGCATCCGCAAACCCATCCAATCCAATCTACTATTTAATTACTTCAACATCGCCTCCGGAGACCCCGCAAAAAATCCAATCAATAATAGACATCCAGAAATTAACTTTAACAAAAACGATCGACCTTACTAAAACACACCCCTTCCCAATCCCGGATACTCAATAGACCAATCTCACATTCAATCACTTGTATACAGATGCCTCCAACAGCGAAGCAGGCGTTGGATGTGCCGTTACCACATATGATGAAGTAATAAAATTTTTTTTACCAAATTTATGCAGCGTATACACTGGAGAACTTTATGCGATACTAGAGGATTTTAAAAACTTAAAACAGATTATAAAAACCAAGAAATATGCACAGACTCCCTGTCGTCACTACAATCGATTAAAAGTCTATACTCGGTGAAATTCCATTTCACTTGGGATTAATTTTTCCCATGCCGATATTGCTAAGCATTCTTAGAAGGAATAAAGAATGTATTTGTAACTAAATAGTTCGCATCGCAATATTATTCATAAAATTGTTCTGAAGCTATTTTCTTGTGGCATTGTAAATTAATTACTATTTATAACTGGGAATAAGCCACAATTAAAGATAAAAATACGTTTATTGACGTTTCAATTTCCAATTCGGAAATCGTTCTCAAAATACAAACAGTAAATGAGTAAATTTACTGTTTGTATTTTGAGAACGATTTCCGAATTGGAAATTGAAACGTCAATAAACGTATTTTTATCTTTAATTGTGGCTTATTCCCAGTTATAAATAGTAATTAATTATTCATAAAGATTAAAAGTCAATCATTTATAGTAATCAGTGTTTCTTCAAACCGCAGTATAGTTTTTATATAAAAGTTCATCTATTCAAACCAGCAGTGTTGCCAGTAGTTCGCTTTAAACATAGAAACGACTTTTCGCTAAGCAATGCTACTTGTAATTAGTTATATATAATAGTGAAGATAGCTCCAGTAAAAAGTGTAGTTGAAATACCCCATATCACAATGTTTTCGGACAGATTCCAGAAATTGCTATTTAATCTTAGTATTAAATATAAGTTAGTGTTTATTTCTGTTTTTCATTCCAGCTTTAGGCTGGTGGTCCTTCGTCCGTCTATTCTCTAAATAAGTTAATATCCAACCAATATTATACCAATACAAAACACAGAGTGAAACTTAAACTTAAGTCAAATATCAAAGACGTTGTAAACTCACCCTATTAAGTTTTTAACCTAATTACTTTCTTGAAAGACATTCAGTTGTTTAATAGAATATGACCCCTTGTTTTCCATGTACTTTACCTTTAACTTATAACTTAGTGATAAAACTGTTGTATTATTTAGTCACAGGTTCTATGCTTATAGATTAACTATACCAATTAGTAACATGTGATTATTGTAATTATTGTATAAAATTTTGTTTATGTCAATAGCCATTGCAGCCGAACCACATTAATTTAAATAAAAAAAAAATAAAAATAAATTTAAAAAATTTAGCATAGTACTAATTAAAATAACAAATATCAGAATGCATCAAATAATTTCTGAGATAATTTATAACAAAGTTTCAAGTGGCAAAACAACTCATGAATGAAAAACAGCAAAATGGCTAAATTGAATGTAACTGGAATAATTAATACATTTTAATACCAACCCCAAACATAATTGTGTCTACTTCTTCTCTTATATCCAGTCGACTCAGAGGCTTTTCATCTATTGTGCTTTCTAATAATAAATCCAAAAATGCTAACCTTTTTTTCTGGTTAAACTCATCGACGTCATTTTTATGACTAAGTTCATATACACCATTTTTGTCACTAACACATTTAGTACGTTCTCTAATTCTTTGTTCTATAATACTATCTGTGTGAGCATGAATTATCTTTATTGCTCTTTTTTCAACAAAATAGTTTAACGTTAGTGGATATAAAAATGGATGAATGATACTATATAGCCTTATTCCGAAAATGTTGCATATTTCTTTAACGCTTCTTACATACTCAGAGGTTTTTGTAACTTGAGAATTCAGCTTGATGCCCATTGCAGCTTCTGAAATAAAAAACAAATTCTTTCATTTAATACTGATATAGATCTTTGATTTAATTATCAGTTTAAAAATTAGTTTCTGTTTAGAATTTAAGTATTTTAATAGATTTTTTTTTACTTTTTAGTTACACTGCAAATATTTTTGGAAATATTGAAAACCGTGATAGCTAGAATATTAACTATAATAATATATAAATAGAAATAAACCTAGATCTATACACAGTAAAATATTAGATTTTTAATATCAGCTTGCAGCCTTTTTTTTCCTTATATGACGCATCAACCACGCAGGGTTATTAGCGTGTATGGATTGTGATACAAATTTAGAGATTAACAATAGAATATTAACTATCGCAATACATAAATATAAATAAACCTAGTTGCAACCCTGCGCTTAGTTGATAAAGTGCTGATTAAAATCTGCTCTTACTAAAACTAACTTTTCAGCGGTTTATAATCAATAAACGTAATATATTGTTAGCGAAATAGTGTATTTAAACAACAAAGTTTCTTCACACAAAAAACAAACTGTGAGTACATTACCAATTTACTACAAATTCAATATTAGTAAATATTATACATATCCCATAATTCAATACAACACATTAATTAATCCGGTTTTTGGTTTTTTGGCAACTTCGCTAAGTCGAAATAATTAGCCAATACAGGACCGGCTTTCAAAAATTATATCAAATGAAGAAAACAAATATTAAAAATGGATGATTCTGAAAATATTAGCATACCTACTACATCATCAACATCGACATATTCCAATTCAGTAAGCAACTTCAATTTTCCTTCAAAAGAACAAGCCATTATTCTATCAGCTATCCACGGTATTAAAATACATGAATACATAGTAGCCATAGGATCTCTACTCACACCAAAAAATGTTATTTTTGCATCACGAATAGCAAACAACCGAGTTTGCATTTACTTGAACAATTCTAGCATAGTAGGTACCTTACTAAACAACCATAAAACTGTAGACTAGTAATATCAAACATCTGCCCCAGCATCCCGAACAGTATTCTAGAAGACGAACTGAAACAACTGGAACTAACTGCTGTATCCAAATTAACGTTTTTAAAAGTTAGCATGCCCGAGTCTGAGTATAGTCATGTCTTAAGCTTTAGGCGGCAAATATTTGTCTCTCCGATAATCACCAAACCAATTCCAAATACAATCTTAATAACCTATGACAACACTCCTTGCAGAATCTTCCTATCCCTTCATGGTTTAAATTGCTCTAGATGCAATACTACTGGCCACAAAGATAAAAACTGCACATCTACATCAACTGGTACAGAAACACTTAAAGATCCATCTCAAGTAATACAAACATACACCTCAGAACTCGAACTCATGGAAGTAAATCAGAATAATTCAGCAAAAAATATTTCAGATGTACAACTAACTGTTCCAACCCTATTTCTGCAGATATCCCAACGACAAACGATTCGCTTATAGTACACAATATACCTTCATCTACAGCTAACAGCAATAGTACTAAAACATCCAATCAAGCAAAAAGGCAAATTTCAACCTCTCCTGAAATCTCAGAAACTAAAAACCTAAACGAAACTTTTGTAACTCCAAAAAAATCCGCACCAAAAAAAGAAGAAAAAGGCTTTAGATGTCGAAGCCACATTAAAACCAATTGAAAACATTTTAATGACAGGATCTCCTTCATATATGCTAAATTTCTTTGAATTATGCGACTTCGTTATAAACGCAATGGGATCAAAATTTCCTGAAGTCATAGCTAAAAACTATACAGAAGATTTTGACGGCTTATACACCTTATTAAAAATGGTTCACTCAAAATTAAATGATAGACGCATGAAAAATAATATCACAAGGATTATAAAGAAAATAAATCCAACATATGAATATTCCCTCACTGAAGAAAGCGACTACGATTTATCTCAATAGTCCAATTAAATTCATTCTTCAATGGAACTTGAATGGCTATTATAGCCACATTGAAAACAATAAATTGCTAATCAATGAACTGTCACCACTAATAATATGTCTACAAGAAACTCGTCTTTCCAACAATCAAGCAAAACTAAAAAAATTATATGGCCTATACAAAAAATCGAACAGTACAGCAAATATCCAGTGGTGAAGTCGGAATTTTTGTACATTCAACTATCCAATCCAAAGAAATTTCGTTAAACACGAATCTGGAAGCAGTAGCAGTTTCGGTAATACATCATTCTAAAATCAATATATGCAACGTATATTTACCACATCCTGACGAAACTACTCTATTAGAACTTCAAAATGTAATTAAACAAATTCCATCTCCAAAATTAATTTTGGGTGACACAAACTGTCACAACATCGTATGGGGATCCAAAAAAAACAGATAAAAATGGACGAATATTATTAGAAGCAATTAATAACATAAAACTAGTTTTGCTAAATACAGGAACACCTACTAGATTCAATGCACATAATGGCACATTTTCCTCCATAGACTTATCTATCAGTGATTCAACTTCAGCTCCATTTTTACAGTGGAATACATTGGACCATCTATACGACAGTGATCATTTTCCAATAATAATTACTCATGACAAAGATAAAAAAACCTGTACAACACCATATGAAACGTGGAAATTAAAGTCAGCTAATTGGGAAAAATACTCGAACTTAGTAAGCATACGTATACCAAATCTCGTTATAACAGATAATATAGATACTACTCTATCATCTTTCAACGGTATAATTTTAGACGCAGCCAGAGATTCTATAGGAAAAACCAAAAATATCACAAAGGCTCATCTTCCTTGGTGGAACACTGAAATCGCATCCGCTTTAAAGCAAACAAAACATGCTTTTAATATATACAAGAAGTATAACACACCTAATAACTTAAACAATTTTAGATCTTCAAGGGTCAGATCTAGATTTTTAATAAAGAAAGCAAAAAAAGAAAGCTGGACCAATTACGTGTCGTCAATTGACTCGTCTACACCCATAAGGGATATATGGCAAAAAATAAGGAAAATAAAAGGTTCAAAAACATTTAATCATATTGACACAATAACTACAAACGATCTAACAACTTCAGACAAACATGAAATCTCAGAAATTTTAGTAGAACACTATCAGTTGTATTCAAGCAATCAGCAGTAGTACCACCCAAATTTCTTAAAACATAAAGAAAGAACAGAAACATCAAAAATTAACATAGAAGATACTGCTAGTCCACTAAACACTTCCATAATACTTGATGAATTAAATGAAAGTCTTAATAACCTCAAAAATACCTCACCTGGACCTGATGACATACCACCAATTTTCATCGAAAAACTACCTATTAGCGCGAAGGTTACTTTAGTAGAGATCTTCAACAAAATTTACTCGACCCATAAATTTCCATCTCTCTGGCGCGAGGCAATTATAATACCATTTTTAAAAGACAATAAACCAAAAAACTTATCTTCTTCGTATCGACCAATATCTCTTACCTGTAGGATCTTCAAAATAATGGAAAAGATTCTAAGCAAAAGATTAAAATGGCACTTAAAAAGGAAAAATTCCTTACATCCATCCAAAGTGGGTACGGATCAGAACGGTCTACAATAGATAATATTATATCAGTAGAATCTGAAATACACGAAGCTTTTATACATAAACAAAAATTAATAGCAATTTTCTTCGACATCACATAAGCATTTGACACCACGTGGACACATCACATCTTAAAAAAATGAAAAGTTGGAAAATAGATGGTAAATTCTTAGCCTTGACCAAAAACTCCTGGAGAACAGAAGTATAAAAGTTAAAACAAACGGTGTCATGTCAACTAAGAAATCACTGGAAAATGGTATCCCTCAAGGATCTGTATTAAGCCCCCTGCTGTTTTTAATAGCAATCAACAAAGTATCCAACCATTTCATGCTTCCAGTAAAAGCAAACCTTTACGCCGATGATCTTGTAATATATATGAGAAGTAAAAACCTAAAATCAGCTGCATCAATATTACAAAATACACTAAATAAATTAGAAGGGTGGTCTTTAGATATTGGCTTGAGATTTTCAACCGAAAAATCTAAAGTAATAATATTTGACAAAAGAAAAACACAACACCACTTAAATTTAAAACTAAACGGAAATACTCTTTTAACAATCAACGAAATAAAATTTTTGGGAATGACATTCGACTCTCAACTCAAATGGACATTGCACATAAATGAACTAATTAAATCATGCGAACAGATAATAAATCTTCTAAAAGTTCTTTCCAATCACAAATGGGGCGCAGACACAACCATTCTTCTACGATTATATCAAGCTCTAATTAGAAGCAAACTAGATTACGGATGTATATGCTACGAAACTGCTACTAAAAGTCAATTGAACAAACTGGACATCATCCAATCCACAGCGTTACGTATAGTTTTCGGAGCTTTCAGAACCACACCAATTAGCTGCCTTCAAGTCCTAGGAGGAGAACCGCCATTAGCTCTCAGAAGACAATATTTTTCGATGTGTTGTGCTACTAAAGATCTCAGTGCAAATGAAAACCCGTTTATAAGAAGCCTAATAAGGAGCAACCCTCCAAATCTGTACTCAAATTATTGCCCTAGAAACTTACCTTTCAATGAAAGAATAAATCGATTTGAATTCGATATACATCAATTGAGAGCCACTTCTACAAATAGATGCCAGTATCCTTCCTGGAAAGTTCAAATACCAAGAGTAGATTTTACCTTACTTAACGATCCCAAACAATCACACAATCCTTCTGAGATAAAACAACAATTCCAGTCTACCATCTCCAGATACCCTGATTTCAAACTAATTTTTACTGATGCCTCTAAAAGCAGTAATGGTGTAGCTGCTGCAGCTATTTTTGAAGACAACACCTCTGTCGCCCGTCTAGCCAACGAGTGTAGCATATACACTGGAGAACTGCAAGCAATCTTCAACGCACTGAACCAATATACCAGCAATGATATAAATTTTCTTATTATATCAGATTCGTTGAGTGCCTTAAATGGTGTCAAGCAGATGTATCCTACTCATGCCAATTTAGCACTAATAAAAGACATGCTATACATTGCCCAAACTCGTGGTAAAAACATAAAATTTTTATGGGTACCATCCCATGTTGGAATAAAGGGTAATGAAGCGGCTGATAAAGCAGCAACAGAAACTATCAATAACATGACAATTCCTATTATGCAAAACATACCAATCTCAGACCAAAAAACATTAATAAAAACTTATATTAACAAAACCTGGCAAGTAAAATGGAACCAAACAGAAGCAAAATTAAAAATTATCAAACCAGTTGTTACTTCTGCTTTACTACCACTCCCAGCTCAAAGACATAACCAAGTAATTATTAACAGACTGCGACTAGGCCATACAAAATTTACACATGGATACATCATCTCCAAGGACCCTCAGCCGATTTGCCACACCTGTCAAACACCAATTTCAGTGCAACAAATAATGATAGACTGTCCAGTGTACTCAACAGCAAGATTGACAGCAAAAATAAAACACAACTTAAAGAAATTCTAGAAGAAGATATAAATAATACAATAAAATTTATCAAAAATTGTCTGTATAACAAACTGTATAACAAACTGTAACATAACATAATTTTGTATTTATTTTTGTATTTTTCAAAACTGTTATGTAAATTTTATTAACATACTAATGTAACATTTCTAAAATAAAGATATACCACCCCGCTAATAACCCTAGGGCTTGATGCGGTAAAAAAAATAAACCTAGATCTATACACAGTAAAATATTAGATTTTTGATATCAGCTGGCAGTCTTTGAGAAAGGCGAAAATATTTTTAGTATTACTGTATTTTCCAAGAGCACTGTTTAATGTTGATGGTATGTTATACATTTTGCGTTGTACATCGTACTTGGGGCACTACAATAAACAATGTTTTACCGTTAAGACACTTTTACACATGTCACACACAGGTTTATCAGTACGTTTTAGTAAGTATTCGTGTGTTAACCGTGTCTGGTCAATCCAGAGGCGAGTGAAGGTTACTTGTTGTCTTCTATTGTTAAATTTTGGGAATTTTTTATGATTCTTATCAACTTCGTACAGCTTGGTTGGGGAGTTCTTCCATGTATCTTGCCATATTGAATTAATCTTTTCTTTAAGGAATGCTTTCAGGTCGGTGTGAAAACATTTCGTATTCTATGAAATGAAAAAGACAGCAAATATTTGATTTCACGCAAACAGCGCCTATGTATCTGTTAATACGTATTTCGACCTAGTAAGTCTCATCAGAACAGTTATTCATATGTGTTCTCAACGTGAAAAATCAATATTTTCTGTCTTTTAAAAAGCAACACTAAAATAGCTTCAATACGGACGCAATAGCGACATCTAATAATAAAATCCGTAAAATAGTTTCGAAACACAATTCAGATTTCTGCTCATAATCTGAGCCTTCTAAAAATTGCAAGGCAAACAGACGTTGATAAAAGATGTTAAAAGGGACATGAGGAATCTAAAATTTGCATTCCACGACATGTCTTTACAACTAAGCAGAAATCCTTAGCGAATTGTGTTTCTTGTACTCGTACAGAGCAGATCCAAATAAAATGAAAAAGTTTTTTAGTTTATGCACAGTGTTGCTCTAAAAATTAGTTTAAGCCTTTATTAAAAAAGTTTATTGTTAATTCTCATTGAACATTAATTATTTAACATACGTACCACAAATAATATCCAAAGTGCACAATGCAACAAAAGGGTTAATATCTACGCTGGGTTTGTCAACTTCCTTTTTTAAAAGATCAATAAAAACATTTCCATTGGTTTCGAAAACATGTACAAAATTTTCAAGTATTGAAAAATGAAAAGCTGGAGTTAAAATCTTTCGGCGTTGTTTCCATTTTGTACCTAAAATATTAAATAATAATTTAAAAATTCACAAAACTGTTTATTACAAATATTATAAATAGCAAACCAAAAAACTCCTAATTAAAGTAGGTCGTAAATGTAACATTGGTAATATAAGCGTTATTTATAAAGAGAATAATCTTAATTATGAATCTAATTATTTTTGAAGTAATTGTGCAAGTTTATTGACTAAAGAGGTTAATATATGGCTTATGGTTTGGCTTATTGTTCATTATCCGATAATCTCTCTTATGCAAATGAAATTTTCAGAATTTTAGTAATTACATTTTTCATAAATATTACAATCGATTTAAATACATATTTAAAAAAGTTTTTTTAGTTAGCTTTGAGCCATTAACGCGTCATTGTGTTGTGAAAAATGTTAATATTTATGGTAAGTATAATGGTGCGTTTAATTTACAAAGAAGGTGGTATTAAATGTACTTAAGTCCCATGCTGACTCTACAATAAATGCCGCTGGCTACTTTCAGAACTAGAGTTTCATTATGTGCTAATATGACAAGAGTAAGTAAATGTACTATTAACAAGCTTCTAAGGGGGCAAGATATAATAAAACGGAGAAAAGTGCATGGCCTTTATTTAAAAAAATGTATCCCAAAAAACACATGGCCCCAAAAACTTGTGGAAAATATTTCACAAAACAAAATCGTAAGTCAGTTTTAGGTTAAACACAAACAAGGCGGCATACGTCGCGTCTATGGACAGTTTTCCGCGTCGGCCGCCGCGCAGGCTATGCTGAGTACCATGCGGCGTCGGCGGTTTTATGACTTCTGGCGGCAGGCGGCAGTGGCGGCACATCAGTAATAGATATCTCGTACTTTAATACAGACGTATGACTGTTTTTCAACGGTTTTATTTGATTACTTTTGTAAGTGTTTGTCAAATTTTGTATATATTATGAAAGCTATACACATCGATAAATTACTTACCGTAATTCATACACGGCAAGCAATTTGGGATATGCGCTCAAATAAGTATTCGAAATAAAATAAAGAAAAAACATGTTTAGGAAGAGGAATATTATTTTTAAATTTTAAAATATTAACAAAGTAATTGGTAAATTTTTCTCTCGATGTTAGTGCTCTTGGATTTCGTCTGCTTAGTCAATAAGTTTTTAAAGTGTGAACACTTTTTGCTGAAATAGTATCGTGATCATTGTGAACATCCCTTACTCTGACAAAAATATGCTAAACACTGCTGGCTTTTATTATATCTTGTGCTGAATAAATATTTACGTTAAGTGCTAGTATGCCAAAAGTGCATTCAATATATCTACGAACCTTCAATAATCTGTAATTAAAAATAAAAAAAAAATTTTCCATTGTCAAGTACATTTTCGAATATGGGAAAGGCTTCATCCCCTACTATTACAAATGGATATCCTATCCCATCTTTTAAATAGGTTTTGCACTAGCAATACTTAACATACTATTTACCATTTTTTAATGTAAAATACAGTCGTAAAATGTGAAAATTCCAGAATCCCTAGCTTTTCCATACGAGCCAACATGAATAAATGTAAACAGATAACCACTATCACACATAGCAAAAAGTATCACAGAAAAATAAAAGTTATAGAACATAGAATCACTAATAGCTGGTCGGATCGTTCGAATGTGTTTTCCATCAATATGGAATTGGGGAAATTTGTTTTTTTCTCAAATCCCTCGGCAGTTTCAAGCCACTTCTCATTGGTTAATTTTGGATAAGTAATATGTCTAATATGTGTCCAGATTATTTTGCATACATCTTTAACGATCACCTTTATTGTAAATTGTCCGATTCCAAAAGCGTAAAGATTTCAACAAATGAACAGCCAGTTGCTAAGTAAATATACAAACAATTTACAAACATTTAAGTAGAATACATAAATTATATAACTGATCTTCTTCTTTTAGGTAATTCGCTTAACAAAAATCAAATAATGTAAGAGATAGATATATTAAATAGTTAACAAACAAAAAAAAAACTGTCAGGATAAGGTCGACTAGGTAAAGCATCTTACATTTGTGTCAACCAATTAGCTTTCCTAAGGGATCTTCTTTAACACCGTCCAACAGAAACAGCTCTGGACGTTGCGATTATCTGCAACAACTGATACTGCATCAGAACGAGAAATTACAGCAGTAAAGTAAGCGTCGACTGTTCCACTAAGAAAAAACGGAAACTACATAGGGTGTAAAGACAACTAGTGGATGCACTTAACAATCACAATGCTTTACAAAAGCCGAAAACACATAATAAGACAAACGAGAATAATGACGACAGACACCATTCTTAAAATCAGTTCCAGCACATATTAAATTAGCCTTTCGGATGGATGTCATGCCAAGTATAAATAAATAGATTACTGTGTCACAATCTTCTATGCATCCTCAACAAACATTATGCAATCCAAATATTCTCCCGTTTTTTCAAGCAGCTACCACCAGCCCGCAATCTAGACCAGAACAATAATTGCAATCGCAACGTTCTTCTTAGCCGTTTTTCAATCATATTACTTTCATACAGCATAAACCTCAACCTGGACTCTCGGTAACACAACAACAAACGACCGACACGCCAACAATATCGCCAGCAGGCTCTCTTTACTCTTGTAATAGTGCAGATTAGTTCATTTTATGTTTTCATTTTTTCTAGTTTTATTTAAAAAAAAAATTATATTATTATCTTTCGTTTACTTTGTTAAATTTATTTATATCGTCTCATTTTCCTTTCTAGGGTTTGTTTTGTTTTAATATTAAAATTCTGTTCTGAAAGATGATATCGTTCTTTTTTTTTTGTTAAGGGAAGAGGTAACATTTATAGTTTTTTAACATTTTACAGTTTCACCATGTATAATTGAAACATTGTGAAACATATCAAGTAATATTTTAATAATTAGGGTCAAACCAGCAAACTTAATAAATTGCCACTAATGTATTTTCTAATTCAACTTCCCAAGTGTTGCAATAACGCCCTAGATTAAATTGTATTGTAATCTCATAGCAATAACCTCTGTGCTGAGGTATACATTAGTTAAAATTATAAATTGGGGATTTGAGCGCAGTCTATTATAGAAAGTTACCTTACTAACAACTAGAGTTTAATTATTAGTAGCTGTCAATAAAACCATAATTTTTACTCCACACGTCAATCATTTATTTACCATCATCGATCGAAAAGAATCGGAAAAAGGAACTTTAGAAAACAATTCGTTCCTGATATTTACATCGAAGTGTCCACATTCCTTTATTTTTCATTTTGTTCGTTTACTATAGGATGTACCTAATACTTGCGTTTCTTTTTCTGATTTGATCTAATATGAAGTAAACTTGCACTGATTAGGAAAATAAATCATCGTCATTTTCACTAGATGATTCTAAAAATATCCTTATACCATTCCACGTCCAAAACTTGACTAAATTTGACAACAACAAATGCAATGGCAAAACTGCTGTCACTGTTAAACCGCCTCATGTGTTTGAAACTCGACGAGTCGCAGACGCGGCGCAATCCGCCCTCTCTGTGTTTAACCTTAATCGATAACAAATAAATAATTCTTTGTAAAATTGAGTTCAAAAACTACGGCAGGACAAAAGTATTCAAACCAGTGGTAAAACTTTCGTAGAAAACCCTTCTGCTAGACTAAAAATTATTGGCTGCTGTTGAATTATAACACATATTGATAAATGTGTTAAGTAGAAACAGCTTGATATCAAAATCAAACGTGGCGTCCGTCAGGGATGTATACTATCACCACTGCTGTACTATCTGAGGAAATCTTTCAAGAAGCAGTGGGTGATATTGAAGCCGGTATTCGAATCAACGGAGAATCTATCAATAACATTAGATACGCGGACGACACGGTAGTATTCGCTGACAGCTCTGAAACCCTCCAGGAGTTAATGAACAGAATCACAGAGGTCAGTCAGAGATACGGACTTTCACTAAACACTAAGAAAACAAAATGTATGATGATCTCTAAGAAGGAACATCAATTTGGACAAATCAGTGTAAACGGTCAACAAATAGAAAGAGTAAAAACATACACCTACCTTGGTACGAACGTCAATGAAAATTGGGACCATTCCATAGAAATCAAATGTAGAATAGAGAAAGCAAGATCTGCATTTCAAAAAATGGCTAAGTTATTCAAATGTCATGATTTATCAATGCCCATAAAAATCAGGTTACTACGATGTTACATCTTTCCTATACTGTTGTACGGAGTTGAGTCATGGACTCTCACAGACGCCACCTGCAAGAAAATTGAGGCTTTTGAAATGTGGCTTTATCGTCGCATCCTGAAGATATCGTATACCGACCACGTTACTAATGAGGGTGTTCTGTTGAGAATGAAAAAAGAAAAAGAGCTGTTAACCACAATAAAAACAGCCAAAATCGAATACCTCGGTCACATCATGAGGAACAGCGAAAGATATGGACTGCTGCAACTAATCTTGCAGGGAAAAGTAGAAGGAAAACGGGGACCAGGAAGGCGAAGGATTTCCTGGCTGAAAAATCTACGAACGTGGTTCAACACAACAACCACAAATCTTTTTAGAGCAGCAGTGTGCAAAGTGGCGATTGCCATGATGGTCGCCAACATCCGAAACGGATAGGCACTACAAGAAGAAGAAGAAGAAACAGCTAAATCTATGTTCCGTTGTATAATTATCTCTAAGGCTCAATGCACACTGCATCTGTACTAGTACCGTGCACGCCGCGAATAAGCTGAGTGCGATTGCTGACAGTTTAATTAGTAAGTGCACACTCGAAGGGGGCCGCGTCATGCAAGTACTAACAAACAACTTGCAAGAGGCGTGGGACGGGAGGATGCTAGTTTCTGCTACGCCGTAACGTGAACGCGGTTTCCACAACAATCAAGTCTGTGGTCTATGCTAGGCAATCAATGAGTACATATTGATCGCGCGATGGATTTCAACGTGGATACAGAACTATTTAATGCTACTGTTAAAATGCCAGCCTGCCATATGGGATACGACGTCAGAATATTACCATGATTAAGAAGAAAATAGCCGCATATTTCTCTTTTTTATATTATATAAGGACTATATACGGTAAACACAGATGCAACACGTTGCCTGTGATAATACGTGCTGCTTGTGAAGCATAATGAGACTGAATACAGTGAAGACGCCGAGAAACCGCTTAATAACGGAAAATAAACATGTCTAGTGCATGCGTCTTGCTCGCAGCATGCACGCTAATTGCAAAGACCCAAGTGTGCATCGAGCTATACCTATCAAACTCTCCTTAACTTGTAAACATGAGTTTTAATTTATTACTTTGTAGCAAAGACCAAAGACTTAAGTTCAGTTTGTAAAAGTGCCTTTCTAAATATCGAAAATATAAAAAATGCAGGGTAGACAGTGATTTTCACGATTGTTTTCATTTTATAATAATGAGATGCCTAGACAAAATTGCAGTAGGAATCGGACAATCTAAAAAAACACGTACTAAGAAAAATATAACAACATTTATTAAAACGTCTTCTTCTTCTTGTGGTGCCTATCCGTTACGGATGTTGGCAACTAGCATGGCAATTCTAACTTTAGTGACCGCAGCTCGAAATAGTCCTAAAGTTGTTAAGGAAAACCATTTTCATAGATTCGCGAGCCATGATATTTTTCTTCTTCCTGGTCCCTCTTTCCGTAGACCTTTCCCTGTAATATAAGTTGCAGCACTTGATCTAGTGTGTGGTTTTTAATCAATGCATGGAGTAAATTATATGAACAGCAATGTCGTTCACAAATCAATGTACTATTCAACATAATTTAATAATAAATTGGAAAACTAGACAGTTAGACGAGTACTTAGTATAAGCGTGTATGTATGTAGTAAATAATACTTTTGCTAACTAGTCTTTGTCTCACTTACAAGTCCTCTATTAATTTTAAGGGAATAAAAGAAAAAAAAACACAACAAATGTTAAGTTGCCGTAGTATTGAAATATGATATTATGGTCACATATTAATAAAATATTAATAAAACGAATAAGTAATAGGTAGTCAAGGATTTTACATTCCACTGATTAATAAGGCATAATTTTAGCACAAAAACTAATATAATAATCTTACCTGTACTTGTTAATAGTCCCGTTGATAACCATTTATGCAGGAACTTATATTGCTTCCCTTTGTTTATTAGCTTTGTTGAACTTAATATGTGTTCGATCAATTTAACGTCTTTAATGAAAAGAGCGGTACTTAGAGGTCCATCGTGAATTCTTACTATCGGACCATACATGTCATGTAATTCCATCATTATATCCAGGTATTCTAAAATTATAATAACCATAAATACATTTTAATATATATTTATATTTAAGGATTTTGCAATTGCTGTTATAACGTATAATTATTTTTTAAAAACAGCTAAAAATATAAACGATCTAATACATAAAAACGTTTTGGAAACAGTATAAATGACAGCAAATAGCAATAAATTTTAGCAAACATTAAAAAAACATACACGTATGAAGAGTCTCCAAGTGTAAATTTTGTTTAGCAGAAAATGGTTGACTTCAATTAGTGCGGTCGTATATATTATTAAATTTATCTGACTTGGCCCATTGTTAAGATCGGTCCGGAGCGATAAGCAAACGAGGTTGACAGAGTTGGTCTTTAGACAATTAACACGGACTAAACGGTACTCCTATAATAAAGCAAAGGATCCACAAACTTTACAAGAATTACGCCGACAAAAACAAAAAAACGGATGTAAAATATATTTCTTTGCCTTATATACCGGAAAATAATGTTTTCAAATGAGTTTTAAACTAAATTAAATTTATTTTAAATGATAAGGTTATAGAAAAACACATATTTTAATCAGAACATTTGTATATTTGATGACAGTATCACTGCACACATAGCTCTGTTTTGCTATCGCTATCCTCATCCAAATTAATTATGATCGGTTCAATTATATTATGATCTATATAGACATGAATTTTCTTTGACTATTACGTGTCGGACTGAATTTCTCCAACTACTTAAACTTACTTACTTACTTAATTAACTCTATAAAAGTACTACTTAAAGTTGGAGAAATATTTTGTGACCTTACGTTAGACTTCAATTCGTGCCACATATATTCTATGGGATTAATGATTATTATCTAATTTTTTTGTTATTTAATTAGATGGCTTTGGTAAAGACCAATTAGCCACCACGATTTTTTTTACTATAATAATTAAAAAAAAACTTTAAAAGAAGACTCATCCTTCTTCACAATAAGGTGAACAATGAATGTTTTTTTTTGTTTTTTTTTAATCTTTTTTTATATACACTTTTATTTTCTATTTTTTTTTGTTCTTTTTTTGCTTTGTTTTTTTTTATTTTTTGGTTTGCACATACATACATACATCAGCTTTTTTTTGATATTAGGTATTCTAGTAAAAGATGCATATATCTGAAATGCTATCACTTACCTGGTTTTACCTGTCAATCTAAATAAATCAGTTACTCTTTTTTTTTATTAACGCATCAACCACGCAGGGTCATAGCTTAATAATTATAATAATAATATTATGTATGTGTGTTAAAATGTACGTTTTAGATCTTTTGAAAAAGTTGACAGTCTTTAATATAGGAAAATATTTTTCGGTTATCTGTATTTTCTTCTAGGGCATCTCTTAGGGAGTTGGGTATGCTATATTTGAGTCGTTCACTGTTATATTTGGGACACTGTATTAAAAAATGTTTCACCGTTAGAACACTGTTGCACAATTTACACACTGGTTTGTTTTTGTGCTGTAATAAATAGTCATGAGTAGACTTCGGCAAATATGCAAATAAAAATGTAGAAAATATGCGCATAAATATGCACGTGTTTACCCGAAAATATGCAAATATTTTACAAAATATGCATACAAATAAATAAAAAAATCGTAAAATAGTAACAATTTTATTTTAAAAAAAAAGTGTACATAACTAAATATTTCCTACTATTCATTAAGATTTACATTTATTTTAAGTAACTACATCATGATACTCAAGTATGAATAAACTTATTTCGAATTATGGTAACAATAAATGACCAAGTGGTGTTCAAAATTTTCTAATAAAAACTTGTGGCTTCTGTCTGAGTACATATATTTATATATGGAAAAACTTCGTTCAACATCAACTGATGTAACGGGAGCATTTTTCAAACTAACCAAAACATTTTGTTCTAAATTAATTGTTTCCGAAATATTTCCAGCTAGAACACTGACTACTTCAGAAAGAATATGGTAACCTTTATTTTTTTCCATAGTAGCTTCAAAGTTTTTTAAAATATCTTTTCCAATATTACCTCTAACGTTCCGACAACATGACGCAAATTCTTTTATTAATGGTGTAATTTCGAACAATGACAGTTTTGGTGATTCTAACTGAGTAATTGTTTTTTGAACAAAACTAAAATTTGATTTTATAAATGAAAGTTCTTGTTGAAGCAAGTTACTCTGAAAAGTTTGTTTAGAATCCAAAAGAGATTGGGAACTTTCATCTGTTAACGTATTGTTACGAACATGCATTTAGCGTGGATTACCTAACGGTCGCATCTCGAAGCACCGAGAGTTTCGGCGATATTTCGAGCGCTGTAAATTTCCACCCGTCAAATAACGAATTAGAGGTGGGACTATTCTCGAATATTCTCGAACATAATATTTTGGTATATATATGTAACGATATTAGGATTTAAGTTAGTTGATAAGAGAATTTCGAACTGTAAAGTTATAAATAAATATATTTATATAAATTCGAACCGCTCGTTTTATTTAAAAACGGTACAGTTGGTGTCCGGTGTGGAGTTTCAACATAAATCCAGCAGTGACTTTTGAAAAAGACTTTAAAACTTTTGAAAAGTATTGTTCATCGGGAACATCCGCGTAGTTCGGTAGTGACCTTTGTACGAAAGAACATTTATAAAAGTACGTGTGTGCCTGTACAAAGATACTGCTAGTACAACTCTCGGTAAAACAGTTGCGTGAGCAATTAGAAGAACGCGATGAAGACTGCAGCGGGTCCAAGAAGATCCTCCAGGAGCGACTGAAGAATGTTCTTAACAAGAATGGAGATGACCCAGAGACATTCCAGTTTCAATTATCAGAAGAAACAGTTTTAACAAAAATAAATGAGAAATTTGAAAATGTCTCGCAAATGATTGAAGAATCTTCTAAAAAAACTGATGAAAGATTCGATGAAACGTCTCAAATTATTAAAGAAACAGCTAGACAAAATGACGAGAAATTCGAAAATGTTGCTAGAAGATTCGACGAGACTTCTCAAATAATTAAAGACGTATGTAATCAAAACAATGAGAAATTTGAAGAAGTCTCAAGAACATTCGATAAGATACAGAGAAATGTAAACGACAAGATAGAAGACGTAGAAGAGAAGATCAAACAATTGGAGACCATGATAACTAACATGAAAGTGCTACCACCAATTAATACGGTAGCTTTAGATCCGGTAGTGAAAGAAGAATCACCTAGAGACGAAATGGCACATCATATGAGATTCAAATTGCCACCATTTGATGGAAAGTCCTCTTGGTCCATATACCTTAGACAATTTGAAGCTATTGCGACAGCCAATCATTGGACAGAACAAGAAAAAGCTGTTTCCTTGACTGCTGCTTTACGAGGTGATGCTGCAGATATCCTAAGATCGATTCCTAAGGGTCAAGAAAAATGTTACCAGACCTTGTTTACTCGACTAGACAAACGTTACGGAGATGCCCATCTACAACAAGTCTACAAAGTACAAATAAGAAGTAGAATTCAACGAGCAAGTGAGAGTTTGCAAGAATTTGAAGCGGATATTGCTCGTATAGCGCTGTTGGCCTATCCAGAGGTACCAGACAACATTTTGGAAGAAATTGCTGTAGATGCCTTCGTCAATGGGTTGAGAGACAGTGAACTACAGAAAGCTTTACGACTAGCAAGACCGAAAGTTTTAGATGAAGCGCTCGCCATTGCCTTGGAACATGAGATAGCTAGTCGAGTTTCACGAAGCTATCAAGTACGAACCTCTGAAGAAAGTGACGAACAAAACGATAAACGTCTAGAGGAAATCGTACGGAAAGTGGTTCGTAACATGATGCCGAAGAAACGTGAACCCAGATGTTGGAATGGTAACAACGAAGGTCACATTCGCCACAAAGTGCAAGAAAATAATACAACAGTCAGAAAGCTAGAACAGATCGAGCACTGGGCTGGAAAAAGTCATGCAAATGCTGATGTTCAATCAAGACGGCGATTCTCGATGCAAGAATGAAAGCTATGAATTAGGTGATCTTGTTTGGCTTTATAATCCCCAACGTCGTCGTGGCTTGTCTCCTAAACTGCAAAGACAATGGGAGGGTCCGTATGAAATTAAAAAGAGAATAAATGACGTAATATACTGAATTAAGAAGTTGCCGAAAGGTAAACCAAAAGTAGTTCACATAAATCGTCTTGCACCTTATGCTGGCTCAAATGAAAAAGAAGAAGTACGAATCCTTCAACATGAGATCAAAGATAACCGGCGACCAAGCTTTAATGAATTTATGTCAAATTACGCAGAGAGAAAGAGTGCTAGATTCGGCGTGACGACAGAAGTTCAGCAGGATCTTTTTAGTGTTCCTCATAACGTCACTCTAGCCCACTGTGTTGCCCAAGATCTTGAGATGACTAAAGGAATCTCATCCGTATTTCATAAGAAATTTGGTCGCTTGAACGAGTTAAAAAACCAGCAGCCTAAAGTTGGAAGAGTGCTGAGATTAGAAGATGGTTCTCGATCTTTGTTGTATATGATGACCAGAAAGTCGTATACAGACAGGGCAAGCTACGAGGATATATGGCGTGCTCTGACTAATTTGAAGAAAATCGTCTGCAATTACGACATTAAAAACTTGGCTTTACCCAAGATAGGCCATGCACTAGATAATCTGGATTGGAAGATTGTCAGAAGCATGCTTGAAGTGATCTTCCGAGAAACCGGTGTAAGAATTACTGTGTGTTGCATTAATCCGAAGAGATCGTGTCCTTCAAAGACAGTAGACTGTTATTTCTTTCTGAGGGGTTCATGCAGAGCTGGAGAGTCCTGTAGATTCCGCCATCCTGGGCCTATAGATAGAGTTCCTGATCGGGACGCTCAGATCTAAGAGGGGAGCAGTGTTACGAACATGCATTTAGCGTGGATTACCTAACGGTCGCATCTCGAAGCACCGAGAGTTTCGGCGATATTTCGAGCGCTGTAAAATTCCACCCGTCAAATAACGAATTAGAGGTGGGACTATTCTCGAATAT